CAAAAAAAAAAAAAAAAAAACAAAGAAACTCTCATTAAAGCTAAAAAAAAATAGAAATTCTATTTTTTTTTAATTTCAAAATGGTCTCTAATAAAAAAAAAAAGCTTTATAGACTTTACAACCTTAACTTATGTCACACATTTAACTCCTCCTAAATTAAATTGGCTAATAAATAAGAAATACCCATAACTGGCATAATTTCACTATTAGTAACGTGATTACAATATAACCTTAACTCTTATATTAAAAACTAACTAAAATAGGATAAACACATATTTAAATTATAATTAAATATGGCAATGAATGAAATGTACTTATTAGTCATTATTAAAACTTAGAGGGTATTTAATCTTCATTGAAGCTCAATTTTGCACAATATATAAGGGAGGTCTCCAACGTTTTCTAAAATTTTCTTTGATGTGCTCATCATAACTTGAATATAAGTGTACAAAATTTGTTGGAGAGAAGTCTCCAACATCTTCTAAAATTTCCTTTGATGAGCTCACCATGAATATAACTTCTTGGCTCTCAGCCTTGTAATCGACAGGTATGAAAATTCCTTGGTGGTAGTTCATATCAAACGTTCTCCGTCTCCGCCCCATGAACATCTCCAGATCTCAGTCGTTGAAAAATAAAAAATAAAAGATGTGGTTTTTTTTTTCCTTCTTCCTCTTTCCTTTCACCATTTTTTTTCACAAAAAATCATATTAAATTTACAAACACTAGTTTTTTAATTAGTTTCAAAGTAATATTTTTGTTTTAAAATTTTTTCTAAGATCTTAAATGTTTAAAATTAGAAAAACCAACCATATTTTAAAAAATAAAAAATCAAATATTATCATCTCTCTCCCTTTCATTTGCAAATTAATTTTTCTTAAAAATTTATATTAAATCTCTAACTTAAATAACAGAGCATATACAACAATTTCTATCAATGAATCGAAGTCCAAAAATGTCGGAATTTATGTTGGAGGAATTAAAGGAGAATTTTTTACAGAATCAAGCCAAGAACTTCTGCAATTTCTCCACCTCCTCTGAGCTTCCAATAAATATTGGTGAGCGTTGGTGAATCTGCCCAATAACACATCAAAATTTACATTAACATCTCATACTATATATATCCACAACCTTAACCTACAATCGCATTAACATCACTCATATAATCACATTACCTCCATCGGTATGATGTCGAGTATTCTCCCCTGACCGTCGATCGCCTTCCCTCCCGCTTGTTCGATCAGGTAGCTCATCGGCGCGCACTCGTACAACAATCTAAGGTTCCCATTTTTATTGTGCACGTTTGCAGGGTTTCCGTAGATGCCTCCAACAAGCAGCATTCTATGGATTTCGCCCACCAGACAGCCGATATAACGGCCAGAGTAGGACTTGCCTGAGGACGTCGGTTGTCGGAGATGATCGATGTATTTCTTCAACTTGTCGTCCCATAGATCGTAGTTTCCTTCATTGAAAGAATAGATCTTTCCCAAGCTTGGTATCTTGATGTTGGGATGAGTTAACACAAATTCTCCATAGGTTGGGTCCAAAGTGAAGGAAAAAACTCCTTTTCCTATGGAGATTGTGAACACAACTGAGCTTGAATAGAGGCAGTAACCAGCTGCCAATAGGTTGCTTCCTGGTTGGCATACATTCATGATGCATTTTTGTTCTTCTTGATTAAGCTATAAGAAAATGAGAATGATCCATTCATCCGAATTTTAATATTGGATTCAACGGTAAGTAGACTCACATAATCTTATAAACCAATGTTAATCACAACTCAAGCACAAATGACATGAGTTCCTATGGAGGATTGTTGAGAGAGATGTTCCACATCGGCTAATGAAAGGGTTCATCATAGGTTTATAGCCTATTGAGGATTATAGGTCTATTGACATATAATTTTTTTGGGAAATCAAAAGCAAAACTACGAGAGTTTATGATCAAAGTAGACAAAATCATACCATTATGGAGGTCCGAGATTCCTAACATGGCATCAGAGTCCTGCCTTAACTTAGCCATGTCTTAACTTAGTCATGTCAATAGAATCCTCAAATGTCGAACAAAGAAATTGTGAGTCTCGAAGGTATAGTCAAAAGTGACTCACAAATGTACTTAGTTTGATGGCTCTAGAGAAGAAGGAGTCGAGCTTCGATTAAGGGGAGGCTGCTCGAGGGCTCCATAAGCTTCAAGAGAGGCTCTAAGATGTACTTTGTTCGAGAGAGGTGTCTCACATCATCCAATTAAGGGGTTGATCATGGGTTTATAAGTCAGAAAGACATTAGAGTAGATAATATCATACTATTATTATGGGGTGGTGATTCCAAATACACCCACCATCTAAATGCATGCTACATCTTTCCCATATCAAACATTTTAAAATCAGAGCATTGAGTAAAAGTTTCAGACAATCTTTTGAAGAAGTGTTGCAGAGAGACATAAAAAATGGCAGATGGCTTTGAGAAACATTCATATATGTAAGGGGAAGAAGATGAATTACCCTTTCCCATATCAAACATTTTAAAATCAGAGCATTGAGTAAAAGTTTCAGACAATATTTTGAAGAAGTGTTGCAGAGAGACATAAAAAATGGCAGATGGCTTTGAGAAACATTCATATATGTAAGGGGAAGAAGATGAATTACCGTAGAGTCATCGTCAATGTCGAAGAGGCATTGCTTATCAGGCGCATAAATGCCAAAGATGGAACCAGTGGTCAAGGCGGTGTCAATGTTGGCCGAGCCATCAATGGGATCAAACACAACGACGTAGTTTCCAGAGTAAGTTTCCTCCACCGCAACTGGTACGTCTTCTTCCTCGGAAGCTATGATCCCTGTGCGCCCAGTCGATCTAAGGCAGCTGCAGAACAACTGAAAAATTTCTCCATGTAAACATTAATGGATTTCATTAACAGACAATTGATGTTGCATTAACAAAAGTTTTAGGTAATTAATCACGCCGTTCTAAACTTATTCAAAAATCTAGACACCGACGGAACCAGAAGAAGCAGAAATTAACTCAAAAAACAAACCCTAATAAATCACCTCGTTGGAGATGACGTCTAGTTTCTTCTGGTCTTCACCTTGGACATTAATAGTACCATGGGCGCCGGTGAGGTTGATAATGCTGGATCTCTGCAGCAGCGAAGCGATCTGTTTGCAAGCGAGAGAGATGCTGGAGAGGACGATGGTGAGTTCGGCATCGATTTGCCCCGATTGTTCCTGCTTCAGCAACCATGTGGTAAGGTTTTCTACGTCGAATCCAGCTCGTCTCGGGTTCTTCGGTCGGATCTCCGGGTCGGTCGTTCCCAAGCTCACCGCTCTAATCGGAAACTTGGCTGCCGGAGCGACGGAGAAGGTGTAAGAGCGGTGGGTGTGGAAATTGGGAGACGGGAAACGGGCGGAGCTGGAGAAAAAATTGGTGGAGAGGAGAGCTTGTTGAGGAGAGGATGAAATGGTACGAATCATCTTCTCTCTCTTCACTCTGTGTTGTGTGTTGAAGTTGTTATTGGTGGCTTATCACCTTTGTGAAACCATTGTGTGATTCTCTAAGAGTTTGTGCGGTGAGACGTGAACAAGGCTCTCTGTAACCGTACGATATTGTCCATTTTGAGAATAAACTTTACTTTGTATTTTCTCAAAAGGTCTCATTCCTATGGAGATAGTACTACTGATGTGGGACGTTCATTCAACACTTCCCTCGAACAAAATACGTCTCCCTTTAATTGAGACTCGACTCCTTTTCTTTTGGAGTCTTAGTCATTTTTTTACTGTGCCTTCGAGGCTCACAATACTTTTGTTCCATATTTGAAGATTTTATTAGCATGACTCTGATACCATGTTAGATGAACACGACTCTCCATAACAGTATGATATTGTCCACTTTGAGCATAAGTTCTCATGGATTTGCTTTGGGCTTCCCAAAAGGCCTCGTATCCTTTGATTATGAACCCATGATCATTCTAGACCTCGTGTTCTTTAATTATGAACCCATGATCATTCTCTAAATAAGGTGATGTAAGACTTTCGTCCAACACTTCCAAGTAATCAATCAATTAGTACTTTTGACATATGCTTCAATATTTAATTTTATTTTCTTCAAGAAAACAAATATGGAAGAGTTTCGCTCGAATCTATAGTTTGAAGTTGTCGTTCGAGAAAAATTAGTCGTTATATCCTATTAAGACGATTTAAGACGATCGTTTTAGTTTGCTTTGCATTTGAATGATTGTCTTTGTGATAGTGCTTTATAGGTGCGCCTCAGACAATTTATTAACTTTATCGCTAGATCTTTCAGATTTGTTTGTTTGTGGTTATTGTTATAGTTAAACAGACAATTTACCATCTTTGTTTTGATTATTTAAACCGTAATTGTTCGTAGCCATTGAAAGTGTAATCAATTTGTTAGTGTTACTAAGTCATTTATGAGATAAGAGAATCGTTTTTAGTTTGAGATAGATGAATTTGTACATCTAACTTGATAGATAATATAGACTTTAGCTCGTTGACATACTATTAAGCTCGACATTAGTCTAATATAATTTGCTAATCATTATATTTAGGCATGGGAAGCAAATAGAATATTCTTCTTCTTTAAACTATTATTCTTCTGCTTTCTAATAGCAAGATCTAGTGGAGTTTGAAAATTGATTGTATCGGTGGTCAATCTGTGTTTAAACGACAACATTCCAATAAGCAATTTTGATTAAAAGATGAGGATGGTTTAGCTCGATTAACAATTGAGCAATTAGGGTGAGACACCACCATAACATCAACTCACCCTTTCAGGTAGGAATGATGGGATGACGTAACTTCAATCAGACAAGAAATATGAAAAATCAACTTGCTAACTTTTGCTTTTTCGTATACTCAAATCTTTAAAAATTATGCAAAGGGAGACAAAAGAAAAGAAAAGAAATCGATAGCCAGAGAAATCAGAACTCAATGTTTTGAAGAAGTAAAATATTGCTATTAAAAATTTTCTTGTTATTAAATTTACTTAAAATGTTTGCATTAATAGAATTAAGTTACTAAGTCCATACAAGTCCAACTCAAATCTATGTTGAAAAACTAAGGATCACATCTAGAAAAATGGAACAAAAGAAGGTTTAATACTTTTGGGAGAAATAATGGTGTTGTTTTGAAGGTGTTGGGTCCTCAATCTCATTTTTTCTAGACCCTTTCTATTCCCACAGCACAAACAGATGAAGTAATGCTGTTGTTTGGACATGGATTAGGCTTTTCATGTGGAAGCAAATTTAAGTGCACAAGCCAGAAGTATTTATTCAGTATTGAAATCAACTTTACAAGAACAGAATAAAACTAATATACCTTTTTTCTTCATCTCCAATCAACCAAAACCCTCATTCAAGCTAAATACTTCTCCACCTTCTCCACTTCGTCCACGCTCCCAATATACAGAGGCACACGTTGATGAATCTATTCCAAAACACAAAATCAAAACAAAATGAGAATCTTCGGACTCAAATCTAGTGAGAATTGTTGAGAGAATAGTCCTACGTCGGCTTATTAAGGGGTTGATCATGGGATTATAGGTAAGGAATACATCTTTATTGATATAGGCATTTTTGGGAGCTTATGCTCAAGGTTGTAGTTTCTGACATGGTATTAGAGTGATCCCTTAACTTAGTCATGTCAATAGAATCCTCAAATGTCGAACAAAAAAGTTGTGAGTCTCGAAGGTATAGTCAAAAGTGACTCAAATGTCGAACAAAGGGTGTACTTTGTTTGAAGACTCCAAAGGAGTTGAGCCTCGATTAAGGGGAGGCTGTTTGAGGGCTCTATAGACTTTAGGGGAGGCTCTATAGTGTACTTTGTTCGAGGGAAATTGTCCTATGTTATCAAATAACAATTTAAGTATGGTATATAAAATTCTATCCATCTATTCAAGTCGGTAGGTTGACACATTGTTAAGGCTCGAGAGTGAAATTATATGGATTAGAGGAACTAACCTCTGTTGGTTGTATGTCGAGAATTCTCTGATGGCCATCAGAGCCTTTGCCCCCAGCTTGTTCCACTATAAAGCTCATTGGTGCACACTCATACAAGAGCCTCAGCTTCCCGTTCTTGCTCTTCTTGTCTCTAGGATACCCATAAATGCCACCATAAAGCAGGGTTCTATGGAAATCACCGACCAAACTACCAATATATCTAGCAGAATATGGCTTCCCACTGGGGCCTGGATCTTTCAAATCATCGATGTACTTCTTCAACTTGTCATCCCACAACTGATAATTCCCCTCATTAAAGGCATAAATCTTCCCCGCCTTGGGAATTTTGATGTCCTCCTGTGTTAGCACAAATTCTCCATACATGGGGTCTAAGGTAAAGGCAAAAACGCCTTGTCCAATGGTGAGCACGAAGATTACGGAGCTTGAGTACATGCAATAGCCAGCGGCGAGCAGGTTGCTTCCTGGCTGACACACATTCACAACGCACCTCTGTTCTGTTGTGCCGAGCTGCTCGTTGACATTTCATCAGTCACATAGAGGGCATGATATGGGTTGGCCCATTTTTGGGAAAAGTTAAGGAAATGCTGTGGAAAGAAGGGAATGGGGGTATTGACTTACAGTGGACTCGTCGCCGATGTCAGCGAAGCACTCGTCGTTGGGGCTGTAGATGCCGAAAATGGAACCGGTGGAGACGGCGGCATCGATGTTGGAGGAGCCATCGAGTGGATCAAATACGACGATATAGTTGCCGGAGTAGCTCTCTTCTACGGCCACTGGCACATCTTCTTCCTCTGATGCTATAATCCCTGTTCGCCCGCTTGATCTCAAGCAATTGGAGAACACCTATGGCAATGTATTTGCTTGTTAAACTAGAACTTAAAAGCACAGAACAACACATTTTCTTTTTGTTTTTCAAAATTCTATTTATTTTCTCATCATTCTCTACCATAATTTTCATCTAAACAATAGATTTCTTTTTTTTAGAAAAAGAAACAAAGGTTTTCAGTTTCAGATAACAAAACTAAGAAAAGATTAAGAGTCCTAACAATCTCATTTCTGGTGATTGTTCTAGAGCAGAGTACGAACTCACGCACCTCATTAGAGACAACGTCGAGCTTTTTCTGGTCCTCTCCCTGAACATTGACGGCTCCCTGAACTCCAGTCAAGTTCGAAATACTCGCTCTCTGCACCAGCGAAGCTATTTGCTTACACGCCATAGAAATGCTCGAAAGCACAATCGTCAGTTCCGCGTCGATCACTCCCGCTTGCTCCTGCTTCAGCAACCAATTCGTCAACGTCTCGATCTGAAACGTGCCTTTCCTTTTCGTTTCCGCCTCTTTCGCTGCTCCGACCGCCGCGCACCGGACTTCAGTAGCACCGCCGTACCTTCTCTTTCCACGGCATGGCGGATGAACGGAGGATGAGACGGAGAGGTGAAATGGAGAGAGACGAGATAGAGAGCGAGAGACTACTGGCGATGATAGATGGCAAGGCGACGCCGTTGCTGTGGCGGAAGCCATTGATGATGACGATGAAGATTCCTCTTCCTCTTCTTCTTCTTCTTCTTCTTCGTTCCCTTCTCTGGCGCTGGTTGGGTTCTGAATTTGATTGAATTTGTTTCATAGTTTCAGTGAAGGATTGTGAGGCTCGCAACGGTTGATGCGATTTTGGGTCCCACTTTATCTCGCTCTTTTCTGTGACTATGCTTCGTCGAGAGTCCAATGCGAGATGGATCCGTTGAGTTGGATTAGGCTTTTTATCTGGGCTTTTTAATTGGGCCCTCGTAAAGCCCAATAATTTCCAAATTTAATAAATCAAAATCAAGATGGGCTTATATTGTGAACCTTTTTTCTTTTTTTGGATAAAAAATTATATTATATTTTATTTATTATTTTCATTATTACAAAAATATAAATTAAGTTTATATTTTCTCTAGAAAAATATCCCATAACTTAATTTTTTTTAATAATGCCATAAAATATTCTTATTTTTATTAAATTTTTAAAAGGGTTTAAAAAATAAACGAATATCAAATTTATGGAAACAATTTTTAGTTTAGGTAAAGTTCGTATTTGATGAAAGATATCACCTTCAGAGATAATTTACGAGGTGTCAATGGGTAGTTCTTGTCCATATATTCATAGTAATAATTTTTTAATTTTTTTTAAATTAAAGAAGGTAAATACTAATTTTAAAATTTTAGTACTAATACTAAAAATATTTTTTTGAATTAAAAAAAAAATTGAAGTATTTTTTAAATAGAGTACTAATTATTTAGATCTAAAAATAAGGGCGAAAGTATTTTAGAAATATATTAATTAAAAAAAATAATTTTAATTTTAATTTTTTTTAATGTTGGAAAATATTTTTCAGAGTATATTTTAATTAATTTAGCTTTTAATAAGTCTGCCGAATGATCGGTAAAAAGGGATAAAAATTCCGATGTGGGTTAGGCGAGAGAGGAGAGGAGGGTAAAAAGGTAGTTTCGTAATGGACGGTTTGGTAATTGGGAAAGAAAGAGATTCCGAAACATTTGCCCTATAAATTCACTCGGTCGTCTTTATTTCGTATTGAAATTTGGAAGGAGAGCGGTTAAGTCAATAAGGTGACTGAGTTCCGTGGACGGTTGGTGGCGACAGTCCGGTGATGGAGGCCGCTTCTGCCGCCGAGGTCGATGCTACTGTCGCCGAAGGAGGAGGAGTAGATGCATGCGATGCCGTTGTTTCCGTTGCAGACTGCGCCAGCGGGGACGACGCTGTGCCGATGGTTGGGGAGGGTGAATCAACTGGTGGCCGAGGCGGCAAAGATAGAGTAAAAGGACCTTGGTCTCCTGAAGAGGATGCGATACTCAGCCGCCTCGTGGGCAAGTTCGGTGCGCGGAATTGGAGTTTGATTGCTCGGGGAATTGCTGGGCGATCCGGAAAGTCTTGCCGCCTTAGGTGGTGTAACCAACTCGATCCTTCCGTGAAGCGCAAGCCATTTACTGGTATTAGACTCTATCCGTAATCACTCATTGCCTCATCTGATTCTTATATTTCATTTGTCGGTCCGATTTTGGATGGTTTTTAGTGTTGAGCGTCTGGAGAAGAGAATTGAGTTATATGCTTCTTGATTTAGAATTCAGATATTTTATCCCTGTCAATTCTACTTATATATATTTTTCTCGTCGAAGCCTTAATTGTTTTGTTGGACATTGTTCTATTCCACAATTTCTTTTTCGTCTAGTAGGGACTCTAATGTGATGCCATCATAAATATCAATGAAAATGACATTTTTTCTTTTGGCCTAGTTCAATACTGGGTAAACTACTGAACACGAACACGAACAAGCATGACGTGGATTTCATTTTTGTTCATTTGCTTTTTATTCTTGGTAATGTCTTTATAAGCTAAATTTAGAGATCAATAGTTAATTGTTATGAAATTCAAAATTCTCTGCGTGAAGGCAGAGGTTTTCTAAAATCATTCTCAAACATTTAAGAGTTCAGCATGAGATTTATCTGATATATGTTGGTAGCAAATATTTAACACTAAGTTAAAGGTATGTGATCGATAAACTACTTAGTCAGATAAACCAATTAAAACAATGGAGCATTTAGCATATAGGACATACATTTTCTCTTATATTGTTTTTATGTGGTGCACTTTTCCTGTTATTTATGTGTGTTGCATATCAATGCTTCTATAGATGGGTAAAGATATGCATAGTGATAATTCATCCTGGTTGTATCCTGCTTTAATGTTGTCATTTGTTGATATAGTTGTGCAAAATTATTCCTGAAAGTGGTTTAAAAGATACAAGTGTCTTCAGATGAGGAGGACAGGATCATTGTTGCAGCTCATGCAGTACATGGAAACAAATGGGCAGCAATTGCTCGACTCTTGCCTGGGAGAACGGATAATGCTATAAAGAATCATTGGAATTCCACTTTACGGCGTCGATGTACAGAGCTTGAAAGAATCAAGTCTGGGAACACTGTGGATGATGCTAGTTTAGAAAAAACCAAGGGATCATCGGAAGAAACCCTTTCATGTGGAGATGTAAATTCCTTTAAATCCTTGGAAGGAAAAGACACCTGCTCACGGGAGCATATTGATGATCAGTTTGAAGACAAGGTCCCTATGGCTATTGAGGGTCAATTTAGTCATGAAGTCAAAGAACAAGAACAGCCTACTCTTTTCAGGCCAGTGGCTCGAGTAAGTGCTTTTAGTGTATATAATCCTTCGGATGGCCAAGAGTCTTTGAGGGCATTTTTACGACCTGTTCCCATGCAAGGCCCACTGATTCAAGCATCAACACCAGACGTGGAAGCTAGCAAATTGCTTGAAGGTGTTTATTGTGATCGATCAGTGCCTCATCAATGTGGTCATGGTTGTTGCGAGAGTTATAACCAGGGATCTACAATGGACTCCTTATTAGGGCCAGAATTTGTGGACTTCTCAGAGCCGCCACCATCCTTTACCAGCTTTGAACTAGCTGCAATTGCAACTGACATAAGTAACCTTGCTTGGCTTAAAAGTGGATTGGAGAATGGCAGTGTCAGAGCAATGGGAGATTCGGCTGGAAGATTAAATGGTTCTCAGATGCAAGTGGGGCGTTTATAAGAGACTTTGCCAGTAGCAGATATGATTTATTTTAACAACGATTGTTTATGCGATCCCTTCAGACTACAAGAATTGACCTAATTTATATATTTATGGCACTGATAGGAGGTGTTTCCTCAAGCACACTGGAGAATTTTTGGAGTTTATTGGATATGTATTTTGTTTTGTGATTAGTTTGTTTTACCCTTTACCATCTGTACAGCTTGTCTCTGCTGCTAGGAATCATGGATAAGGGGCAAGTCAAGTGACCCTCATGTCTAAGTTTCCAGAGTCCTGTTTTTTGTTTCTGACCACAAACTCTTTGAGTTTGGAAATTTTATGAACATGAACGGAACTGTGTGAGTTGAGAGGGGCAAAACTTTGTCAATTACATATAGTCCCTGAAATTTCGTGCATTCTTGTTCCAGCTGATGAACATTTCTGGAATCTGTTCCTGATGACTGTACTATGGAAAGGTATGGTTCTTCTACCTCAGTGCATGTACTTGTTCTTATTAAGGTATGGTTAGTGGATGTTCCTTATGTTCATTACCGATAACCGAAACCTTCAGATCTTGTGCCACAATGCCTTCTGAGCACACTAAAGTTTGTATACACATGGATTCATTATATATTTATATGGCATTTTAGAAAACTACACTTGCCATCTCCGTTTTTTCCACCTTTTTTTTGAGCGGATGGACCTGTGCATCTACCGTGCACCCCATTCCCTCAAACAAAAAAGAAGTAAAAGGAAAAATATAGTTATAAAACTTAGAACGAAGTATAATGTGAAGCACAGCTAATTGAGATGACCTATTGCATTCTGCATTTCTACTCTCATAACAGGAGTGTAGGCACTTGACGTGAATGTCTATGTGATTGACTTGAACATGTTCTTGAAATCACAATTCCTTAAGCTTCTATGATGAGAAAAGCTTACACTTGTATAAAGTCTGAATGTGAGTGTCTTATCCGGTGCTCCATTGTCTATGCCTTGACACGAGCAACTCTATAGGTTTCTCTTAGAAATCTCGTTATGACATGTCTTCCTTCTTCTTCGTAAATTTTAGAGATGCAGTATCGATACTCTTGGTTGTTATAGCTCATTTATTGGATATTTCCTTTCCCTCTTCCGTTCTTTTTCTGTCTCTCTTTTCCCCCCTTTAATTTCCAGCTCTTTGTTTCAGGGCAAACGGAAGCTATGGCCTTCATCGTGGTGGTAGAGATCGGAGATAATTCTAACTGCTCGTTAGTTTTAATTTAGTAGAACTATGAATCTTTTTTCTATGTGATGGCTGATGATTGTCATTGGTACACAGATTACTGTATCTTTGAAGAATTCTAATGTTCTATTTTGGGATAACATGATTGGTTATTTTATATTTAATAGAGGCTGTTTTTCATATGCATTCACATATTCAAGCGCATGTTAATGAACAGAGCTTTATTCCCATGCCCTTGGGGGAGCCCCTATTTGTTTGATTTATTCCAGAAAAAAAGCGGTAGCCTTATGTGGAAATGGTGGGTTACTGCTCTTTGTTGATATTATATAATCTCTTTTATCATTGTCCAATCTGTTCCCCTTCTGATTCATTTGACGTTATACTATTTTATTCATTTGGCTGCCTACTGAAGTGAGCCATAGCTGAATCAGTGAACGGTTATGGAAAGAATGCATGTTTCTGATGTCTTGTTGAACTTACTCATGAAAGTCAGTTCCCATTTCAATGCTTGTGGAGTCTGGATTGAGCAACAAAGTAAGCTGCTGACCTTTATCATATACCATTTGTTTGGTTTTCTTAGTTCAAATTCTCATTTGATGTTCATATTTGTATTTTCTGTACTGATTTCTGGATTGAGAGTTTTGTTTGATCATAGGAATAAAACGTCTGTCTGGAAATATACGAGGATTAGACGTTTGAAGGTAATGATTTGTTACACAGGAATCGAACATCTAGGTATGAATTGACAAATTTTTATAAATTTTCGTCGAATTAGAGTCACGAATTTTGATTGAATTGATTGAGACCTGGATATTTAATTGCAAAAGTTAAGAATTATTGAATGTTTGTGGTATTTTAGTCGATCTATTAAGCATGGGAATAATGAGTTGCGAATTATTGGAAGGTACTATAGCAATTGACCTAGCTTCCAACTGCTCCATAATTTGTTTGAACTTTACTCCATCAAATAGGTATTGAAATACCGTCCCCACATTTTGCATTTGCATTTCCTACAATTATTTTAGGATGATAGTAAATCCCACATGACTCTCTGTATAATACCTACGCAATTGAATTCATATGTTAATATTTTCCTTTTTACTCTTTTTTTTCTGATTCCTTTAATAATTTAATACTCTTTTAGCATCTACAAAATGAATTTTGAGGGGAATTTTTTTTGAATAATGGAAAGTTGTTGAGGGAAATGTCAAAAGTGCCCCTGGTTTACATTGATGGGATATTTTCCCCTGGGAGAGAAACAGTCTTTTTGCACAGTAAAAAGTCATTCTTTCTATTCTCATAACATCCGTAGAACAAGGCGAGCAGCCCAGCAAAGCGACAACTCCTAACTCCAAATTCATTTTTATTATTAAACTCTTTTTTTTTTCCCCCTCAGCCAAACACGGTTCATCTCCGACATATATTTGTCCAAATCCAAAACATTGCATTCTAGGATTACGAACCAGCCCTCTTCTCAATCTGATGAATCCAATTCGGAACTCTTTAGCACTGAACCCATCTTCCTTTATTCTCTTCTGTGGCTAAATTTCATGGCTTTTTGAGTTTCTGATTCAGGGGTTTCTTAAAAATGGCGGCTTTGGAGACAGCCGGAGTTGATTTGGAGGAAGGGGGTCGTGGTGGTGACGGCGGACGGCGGGCGGAGGCGGGTGAAGTGAAGGTGCATTCAGAGAGGGATTGTAGGATTTGCCATTTGGGGTTGGAGAGCAACAGTAGTGAGTGTGGAACTGCAATTGAATTGGGCTGTTCTTGTAAGAATGATTTGGCTGCTGCCCACAAGCATTGTGCTGAAGCTTGGTTCAAAATCAGAGGAAACAAGTGAGTTTTAATTTCAAATCCCTTTCCGATTTCACGATTCTTAAACTGATCTGCTGAGAATTTGAATATAGATAGGTTCTTAGTTGGGATCTTTTTTTAGTGTTTTTGGGAAAGCTTGAGAAGGCTATAGAAAGGAAAAAATTAAAACAAAAACAATGCAATCTTAGCCAAAAGGAATGGAATGGAATAGAATATGGAATTGAGAAACGAAGCATTATAAAAAAGTTATTCAATTTGTCTTCACTTCATTAACTCTCTACCTTATAATATTATTCCCTTACCCTTCATACACATTAGAATCTCTCATTGATTTATTTTTAGAGTGTATGTCTTTAATAAAGAGGAGATTAGATGTCTTGACGGTACATTATTTGTATCATTCTTAACATATGTATCTTCTTAAATGGTCCTTTTTTTTCTTTGGTTAGGACGTGTGAGATATGCCATTCTATTGTACAAAATGTAGGAGTACATGAACTCGAACAAATGGAGCAACTCCACGAGTTAAACAATGGGACACTATCGACAACCACGGTTGCAGCATCGGTGGCTGCTTCTCCCGATGGTGGTCGGAGGTTTTGGCAGGTTCATCGAGTCCTGAATTTTCTTCTTGCTTGTATTGTATTTGCTTTTGTCATATCTTGGTTGTTTCATTTCAATATGCGGTCATAAAACGGTTGTGTACAAAGAAAGGTTTCGATCTTTAAGTTAGGTCTATAAATTTTAAAAATAATAATTAAAAAGTAGGTAATAAACGTCCAATCTTTCAATTTTGAGTCTTCAATATCGAATCATAGAGTTTAATTTCTAACTTCTTATTTGGTGAAAGTACGCAGAGCAACCATTAATTCTTCGTTCGACCTAAATAGCGGTTTCTTTAATATAGTTTGGTTATAAGAAAATGGTAAACAATTGGTCACAAGAAACCACAGTAATGGATTAACAAAGCCACAACAACCTTTTACAGTATTCTTGTATGTAACAACAAAATGGTGAAGTTTGCAGAGCAAAACTTCAAAAAAAAAAAAAAATAATAGTAATGAGAAAAAAGAAAGATAGATACAAGAAAAAGAAGCTACAATATAGATAAAAGAAGGGCATAAAAACAATGAAGAACAACAACCCCTGCAATTCTTTTGCTCAGTTTTTGTTCTTTTTGGCTTCAAATTTAGTGCCCTCTTTTAGAGCTTCTTGTGCTTCATTCTCCATCCCAAGGCTGAACAGGCATGTTGCTTGAAGATACAGAGCAGTCGCCCATTCTGGAGATATTGCCTGAGCCTGCATTGCATCTCCTAGAGCTTCTTGCCCCATCTCGCTCATCAGGTACGATAAACAGCGCCGTGCGTACACCGTCGGTGATACCATCGTCCCGCCATCAATGAACTACAGAGGTGATTATGTTATGACTTGGGAGGAGTTCAAAAGACAGTTCAAAATGAGTAAGGACCACTCACTTGTGTATAGCAATCAATGGCAGTGGCGAAGTCTCTAGCTCTGAAAGCTGTATCTCCATGTTTCTTGGAATTCAGAGTCTCCTGCATTTGACTGGTCCACATTTGAAACGAAAGCTGAAAGGCCCATGAAATGAAATGAGTTAGGATTCGTTTTCGACAAGAGACGAGAGAGCATGACATTGTAAACGACATCGTGTGTTGGGTTAGTGATATCGTTGTGTAACGGCCCAAACCCACTGCTAGCAGATATTGTCCTCTTTGGGCTTTCCCTTTCAGATTTTCCTCAAAGCTTTAAAATGCGTCTGCTAGGAAAGGTTTCCATACCCTTATAAAGGGTGTTTCGTTCACCTCCTATTTGGGCTTTCCCTTTCGGATTTCCCTCAAAGCTTTCAAATGTGTTTGCTAGGAAAGGTTTCCATACCCTTATAAAGGGTGTTTCGTTCACCTCCTCTTTGGGCTTTCCCTTTCGGATTTCCCTCCAAGCTTTAAAATGCGTTTGCTAGGAAAGGTTTCCATACCCTTATAAAGGGTGTTTCGTTCACCTCCAATGTGGGGATATCACACGTTGTGTCCCATGTAGCCTTTCGAAAGAAAAACTCGAATATAAACTAGTAGAGGCCAACCTCATTGGCAATGCCCTCATCATCCTTGTATCCATTCTTGTCCAGCATTTCATGTATGGCAGTAAGATCCTTTCTCAAGCACGCTTCGCCAAATGGTGTTAACGATAGTGGTTCGGTTGAGGATGCATTCTCATGTTCGATGCCCATCAAAACATAAGACGCAACCTGCTCGAAAACAATTTGATCAGTGATCGGAGCGTTTTAGAAGACGACTCCAACAAATAATACATCGAGACAATTCACAGTGCAAACCTCTGAATCTTTCTGAAGTGGCAAGAGAGCAGTCACAAGAGACTTCGCGTTCGGCCTCTCCCGAGCTTCGTACTGTAAACAGCGGGAAGCTAACCTCACTAACTCAGTTCCATCATCATTTGAGAAATGGCCTTCCAATGCAGAATCCATTAGCATCAAGAAGTTCTTCCCACGAATTAGATCAAGTGCCTGAACTCATACAAGCACAAGCAATCATGGATACTTTGCTGCTTCAGTGGAAACTACGCTAAAAATCAAACAGGATCAGGAAAGAACTTACATGGCTGGGGGGAATATGTTTGCCACTAAGAAGATCAAGCAGCAGGGTACCATAGCTATAAACCACACTTTCCGGTGTCACTCGACCTGCCAAAAAAACACGTTTAACCATTCTAATAAGAACCCATCGAACAAATGCGTTCTTTAGACTAAAGAAGAACATAAAAATAGTTTTTTTCAATGCCAACACGTGATATGACAATGAACAGAGCTTGTAACAGCCAAAATCGCTAGCAGATATTGTTCTTTTTGGGATTTCTCTGTTGGGCTTCCCCTCAAAGTTTTTAAAACTCGTCTACCAGGGTGAGGTTTCCACACCCTTATAAAGAATGTTTCGTTCTCCTCTCTAACCGATGTGGGATCTCACAATCCACCTTCCTGGGGTCCAGCGTCATCATTGGCACACCACCCAGTGTCTGGTTTTACTACCATTTGTAACAGCCAAGTCCACCGTTAACAGATACAATCCTCTTTGAGTTTTCCCTCTCGAGCTTCTCCTCAAGGTTTTTAAAACGCATATGCTAGGAAGAAGTTTCCACGCCCTTATAAAGGGTGTTTCGTTTTCCTCCCCATCGATCTGGGATCTAACAGAACCTTCGATTCATCATCTTGTGGCGTTTTTCACTCAAGTTTTATGCATCAGTATAAGAACATACCTGTTCTCAAGTACTCGGGCGGGGTAAACGCCAGATTCGTACTATAACTCTTTCCATCCCTACTGTTCTTCATAAGCCCAAAGCACGATAGCCTTGGATTGCCATCCTAAACAAAACACTCCAAAATCACAACACTAAAACATAAAACCTCATCAGACAAGACAAGGAAGAAAACACTAACTTGATCGAACAAAACTCGATAAGCGTTTAGATCGTGGTA